TTTTGAATATACAAAATTCAGACGAAATTTAAAGATTAAAAAAAAAAAAAAAAAAGGAAAATAAATACACATAAACATAATTTAAAAACCCATTTTATTAATTTATATTATTTCTATTAATAAAATTTTATATATTTTATATATTTTAAATAAATAAAATATATATCCATACTAATGGAACATGTAGTTTAATTTTATATTAAATATAAAAATATATTTATAGAGTCAATACATATTATTGCTTTTTTATATAAAATAACAATTACATTTCATTTAGTCATATAAAAAACAGACGATTTTTAGTAAATATATATATTTATGTTAAAAATAATTTATTTTTTATTTTTTTTTTTTATAATTATTATAAAGTAAATGAAGTTAACTATTTTAAAATTTATATATAGTTTAATATATTTTTTTTAAAAAAAAATTCACAAAATACTAAAAAAAAAAAAAAAAAAAAAAATACAAATATATATTGGGAATAACACACCAATTATGAAAACAGAAATTAAAATGGAGTTATTTTTTTCTCAAGGTTGCTAATAAGGAAGAAGGTAAATTGACTTTAATAATTTTCTCTTCATGTTTAAAAACACTTACTTGTAAACCTGGTTCTAAATATTCTTCTGAAATTCCAAAAATATTTAGAGGAATTTCTATATCTTCATAATTATCATCTAAGCAAACAGCTATGTTTTTTTGTTTATCAGTATACTGAATTTTTACATTCATTTTTATTGGCTCTATTTTTTCTACTTTTGCCTGACAGGCAAATTTTGTTGAGGCACTTTTCAAAGTGCTTAAATCAATATAAGAAATCTTCCAGAATAAAAAATGAAAAAAAAAGATGAATAAATATGTGTAATAAATATAAAGGAATATAGACACTAAAAAATATATAAAAAAAAAAAAAAAAAAATATACATAATTATATATATATTTTTACCATATTTGTGGTAGCTAATCTTCCTTGTTTAATTTGCCTTTGTTCAGTTACTTCACAATATTTATCATTGTGCAAAAATATATTACCGCTTCTTAATTCATTAGCTAAAACAGATACATATTTTTTTAAATTAAAAAAGTAATTATTGTTAATTGGATTATTTATCCTCTTGAATAAATTATTTATTTGTCCTGAATACATAATTTTATACATGTTTTTCATTTTCTTTTATTAAATTTTTTTTTTATATTATAATTTATAACTTATTTTCAAAATTTTATATTCATTAAAAAAAAAAGAAATTATAAGTATATGAATGTTAACTTTTTATTATTAATTTTTTTGTAGTAAATATTATATTTTTTTTTTTTTTTTTAGTTTAATAAATATAGATTGTTCTTTTATCATTTAAAAATAAAATATTCTATTTTCTTATAAAATAATTTAAATATTGTTTTTTAATTAATTCAGATAAGAATTATCATAATTTAATTCTATTTATTTAATTTTTTTTTTCCAATTAATATATATTATGCGTTTTTATATGTATTTACATATATATATATATTTTTTTTTATTACATATTTTTCCTTTTTTTTTTTTTTTTTTTTTTTTTTTAAATAAAAGCAACATTTATTATAGAATTATTTAAAGCTACAATATACTTTTTTGTTGTATTTAAAATTATTATAGAAATATAAGAAAAACTTTTAATTATTTTTTTT